ACACTAGTGCTCCCTGACAGGAGAAGTGCATCTGGAGAGGTAAGGCACATTTAAACATGCCTATTGTGTGTTTATTTAAAACGAAAAATTCAAGCAGGTTTTGAACACTAGATTCAATTTTATCATTATGTGAGGCAAGCTTTCATATCCAACAAACTATATATCTGGAAAAATGTTTTTGTTTAAATTGATGGAGCTGAGCTGTTCTGGTCTTTCAAATCATTTTTCCTATGTGGAAAGTACATTTTTAAGTGACTGTTAGAGTTTGGCAATGAATGCAAATAGTTGATAGAGATTAGGGAAACATTGTGGTCTTACATTGACACTAACTCTTGTCAGTAAATGTAAATCCATATTTTGTATTAGTTGCTTGTGAAGGACATTTGTAGCAGACTAAGAGTTTCATGACAATTGTGGCGTGTTTGCAGAATATTTGACACACATATATACTGCACTGTATGATTTCTATGGTTTTGCAACGTATGGTGTTGAATCCATTGGCTGGTGTATGGCTTTACATTGGAGGTGTAATTCTTTGTTGTTTTAATGACACTCTTCTATTTTATGGGTTGACCTGGGCATGGTTGAACTTCAACAGTGATTTTATAATGTTACAAGTAATTTCTAGTTGATGAATTTTGTCACTAGTTTGAAAAGCCTAATTCTCATTCTGACTTCTCTTATATACAGTTTTGACTTTTGGCACTGTTTGCTGTTTTCCACTTCTTGCAAGCCATGATGTGATTGATGCTTTTTGGTCTTTATTTTACAATGTCAAGATATTTTTTCCATTACATTATTGTTTTTCTTTTCATACTGTCTTCATATTTTATATTTTTACATTTACATCTACATTTTTATACATGTAGGATATTTAAAAACTGTGGATGTTAAAAGGGTGTAGTTACAGTTCAGTTATAGTGCCCTTATTTGAGAGGAATCCTATTTCCAATAAAGGAGAGCTGACTGACTGCAGATACATGAGGGTGCTGCATCAGAGGTATCACTATATGCACATTGTACTCAGCCATACATAGTACATACTGAAAACTAAAGTATCTTGTTTAAATGGGTACAATGTGGCAGCGTGGCCAAATAAATTATGCTGGAGTTTATGGTGCACAATTGTACAATGAACCTGAAATAGAATTATCATACTTTAACTAAGTATAGCTAGATTCAGCTGCAGTTAAGTTGTAATCGCTGTCCATGGTGCTGAACGTGTTTGGTCTTATTATCCAGTGTTTGTTCATCAAATACCATAAATATTAAATAACAAAATGAATATTCTGTGTGAAATAATTCATACAAGTTTATTGAAGGTAATATATAACATTTGAAAATGATCTGCATAATCCTCAGAACGTTTTGAAAAGCATTTGTGTTCTAGCTTTATTTGAAGGAAATGTTTTATTTAGTTTACTGAAGAGTCCACCTACTCCTCTTCTCTTTCCAGTTACTCGACTATGTTTGGTCAGAGATTTGCGTAGCTACGAAACGATTTACCGTTCACGAAGGTGCTACAAACCTTTTGACTTGTCTGAAGCGAGATGTTTGGTCGCATGGTGTCAGTGTAATGTAAAAAATCAGCAATACATGAGCTTGTCGTCATTCCATTTTGGTTCCTCCTCTTGAGAGCATTTTCCCTTCCATATTAGTCCAGCCTTTTCTGTGCTTACTGTTGCCTTCGTGAATACCCTGCTTGCCAGTATTTCTGGCTATGTAGGCAAAGGGTAAATATTTACATACAGGAAGGTGTTGGATTCTGTTTTTTTTTTTTTTTACAACGCATTTACAGCTCCTGTGATGGATTAATGATTTCTCGGGTTAAACTATGGAACAAAGAAGATGCAAGACGCGAAGGGCGAGGGGATATTTGGTCGGCTGTGTGGTTGCTGTGCTTTTGTGGAGCGTGGCCTCGGCGCAAATACGATATTCAATTTCTGAGGAAGTTAACGAAGGAACTGTGGTTGGAAATATAGCAAAAGATCTGGGATTAGATAAAAGCACACTGAAAGAAAGAAAGTATCGGATTGTTTC